CTCGGTGGGTTGAAGATACAAGGAAATCTCTTTTTCAAAAGGTAACATAAGAGTTTTAACTCTTTCCTTTAGCCAATTCACGTAAGGATCGAAAGCTAGTGCTTCTTTTGGCCCAAAGAATTCCTTTCCTTTCTTTCCAATATGTGCCCAAGCAATCTCCACCCTTTTTAACAATTCTGGGTCTTCTCCTTTTTTGAGAAACATAGGTTCAACCTCCTTGGTTGTGGGTGGACGCCTCATGGCATAACCTAATTGGCGAAGAGAGAGTACCGGATTGTAGTTGATAACCCCTCTGGTTCCCATGAGTGGAACATTAGAGAAACCTGCACAGTGGGAGATGACTTCGGAGCTATCCACCTTAAGTTTGTACCATTGAATGTCGAAAGAGGTGAGTGTCATCACTTTTGATGCCCATGAGCGAGGATCTTCTTTGAATGGCCCTTTGGTGGGTAACTGCGCCATAAACCATTTGTAAAGCATTGGTATACAACATACCACTACTCCTTTCTTTCCATGCCTGGAGTGGATGGCGTGGTAATTATCTGCTAATAGCGTAGGTATAGGATTCTTATTCATGAAGACGCACAGAGAAGACAAGTCCATGATTTCTTTAATCTCAGGAAATAAGACAACTCCGTAAATAATGGCGGCCAACAAAGCATAATAAGCATCCCAATCTCCCATATTCGCCATTTCCTAAGCCTTACTTGCCAAGAAATTTGTAGGAAGACCGGAAGTGACTTTGTTGCGTCTCCATTTTCCTTTTACATCGTTAAGGCTCAAATAAAGAATCTTAGCAATAGCCTCAAAATCAGGTTCAATAGGGATTTGAACAAATGGAACATGGCCGGTGAGCTTAATATGGAGAAGATGAGCATACTCCTCAAGAGTAGGTGCTAACTGGTAGTCTTGGAATGTGAAGCATCTCAACTCTGGATCATAAAATTGTAACAACGTCTGTACAGCCTTGTCGTTAACCTGAGCATCCAGCAAATATAGGAGATTCCCATATCTTTCACCAAAAACGCCCATTTGTTGACAATTCATGAGGTCTCTGAGCTCTTCAAGAGAGGGCCAAGTACTAGGACGAAACTGATAGCTGAAGTTATCCCTCTTCGTCTTCGGGGTGACATCAGTGTTGTTCGCCATTCTTTGGGGGAAAAGGAAACCCTGGATAGATCCTGGAAATGACAATGCATATATATATATATATATATATATATATATATATATATATATATATATATATATATATATATATATATATATATATATATTTGAAAGGTAAATATGCCTATGATGTGTGTGCAAGTGATCATGGGGTTACTACTTCCATGATATTGATTTCTGTTGTACTGCCCCTTCGTATCCTTGTCAATACCGAGATTACAGGTCTGAAATGTAACTGGAAGAGGACTATGAAGATCAAAGATAAGTCCTCAGAAAATAAATCTGAGAACCTCATAACTGTTGGCAGAAATGCAGGACATAACCAAAAGTAATCGTTTGAATATAGTCACCTACCGTACCTGTAATGATAAATCCCTCCCCACTCACGTGTGAAGACTAGGTCAGGGTGAGATAATGGTAACTCGAAAATCACGGGTCCGCCTGAAAGTAAAATCATCGCAACACAGACGTGCATGATGAAAGTACCTTCAATTGAACCTCCTCCGAGCGTGGTATATGACATGACTGCACTAATCGGACCACGTCCTATAGCCGTCATGCCCCCACTCTATTCCTAGGTGTCCTAGTGCAGTCTGGCCTGGGTACTGGGCCTTTTACCTCAATAGTAACATTCCCACCCAAGCAAGAAGCAGATACAGTACAACAGCAGTATATGGAAGACAATAGAGTGTAATACATGCATATGCACAGGTATATTTAGAAAATGAACGAATGAACTGAAAGCATAAAAATAAACACCCTAAGAAAAGAAATCAAGAGCTAGGAGCGACTCCGGGATGGACCAGCATTTGGTCGACCTAATCCCCAGTGAAGTCGCCAGCTGAAACAACCGGCTGAAAATCATCAAACAATGAAGTCGCCATCGAACGTCTTTTATCCCACATGTAAGGAAAGGTAAACATCGAGAAAACCTGATGAGGGAGAAGTCACGGTCTTGTGACCGAGAGATCGGGTAAGGGAGTCTGTTATGCGAGGGGAAGGTATTAGCACCCCACACGCCCGTAGTACTCTACGGTATCCACTCTTGTTATCTACCTTATGGGTGTGTTTAATCTATGCTTACTGTTTACTATACTACTGGAGGAATGCATGCAAAAGAAAAGAGAAAACAATGTAGGGAAAATAAAATTGTTGTGCTCGCTTGGGCCCTACCCCAATGCCTACGTATCCCTTTTAAGGAATCAGAGCAGCCGTAGTTCGGCTTACATGTTTTTGTTTGTTTGCATTTTTTACTGAACAATATTAATTTCGCCTTCTGCCGCAACTCGACCGTTGGAGACTTACGCGTCAGTACAGAAGTGAATTAACATGCTCTTCTGAAAAGTTTGGAAAGAAAGGTGCCTGGATGCACAAAAAGTTTTGAATTCGTTTGTTTTTGAATGAACGATAGTAATTTCGCCTTCTGCCGCAACTCGACCTTTGGAGATTTACGCGTCGGCACAGAAGTGAATTAATATGCTCTTCTGAAAAAGAGTTTGAAAGGAAGGGCCCGAAGGCAAAAAGATTTTGTATTGGTTGGTATTTTTGCTTATAGATAATAGCTAGTTGATCTCAAGAGAGAGATTTTAGCCATGTCTCTACTTATTCGTGAAATGAATCTTTGAGACTTGAACCCTACCAAAGCTTAGAACAAGAGAATAATAAGGTCGAGCAGAAACCCGCTTATCATCTCTCAAACTTAGCCAAGACGTGGTTCTTGTGAGTAAATTTCCCCTTTTTTGTATTTTTTGAAGTTTTTTGTAAAAAAAGGAAAATTTTGTTATTATAAATGCATATGCGAAGAGGGAAAGAAACGTTATAGGGAGACTAGCCTAAACCTGATTCTATCACACTTCATATGATCTATGGGAAAAGATAAAATGCGAGGTAAAAGATAGAAAGAAAATATACCAAGCGAATACTAGCCCGTAGAGCAAAGCAGAAAAAGCAAATATACTTGACGATCTCGTGAGCTCTTACCATCAACAAAGAAAAAAAGTTAGAAATTCAATACTCGAAGTAAGCGTCGAAGTGTCCTAGATGCGAAAACAAATCACATCGAAATCTTAAGCATATCCATGTGTCGCATATTGAACCTGCATAAGATTCAAGTCTCGACAAAACAAAGGTGAGACATGGATTTCAACTAATCGGATAACCAACAGATTAACTCCTGAGAAGTCAAATAAGTATTAAAAAACTAACAAATTATTACGGATTTATTTTATGTATATATATATTTATTGTTTTTTTTTTATAAGGAAGATTAAGATAAATTCTTAACTATAATAAAAATTATATAAAAAAAAGAAGTTTTGTCATTATCATTTAAAAAAAACAAAACAAAGAATTAACATAATAATAAAGAAAGAAAGAAAAAAAAAAAAAACGGGGTCGTTTTGGAATTGACAGTAGACTCCTTCTTCTCTTCTTTCAAACGGCGCCGTGTGAACGAACCACCGTCTTTGTTTCACTCTGATCAGTGACTGTCGTAACTTCACCATTAATCTCCTTCTCCGATAGAACCTCGCATGGTCTCCGTCTCCTCAATGTCATCACCTTCGTTCTTTCTTCAACCTCCCTTCTCCTCTAAACTTCCACATCCTTCCCCGATTTTCAACGAACAACAACTCTCCAGAGAAAAAAAAGAAATCCTGCCACATATTCTACACGGAGGCGCTAAAAGGAAAGAGCAAAATAACGAAGGGGATAAGATGACGGTGTTTACCTACCGGAGAGGTCCGGTGTTCTTTGAGGATGATGAAGATGAACAGAAATCCAGTAGTACTTGGTGTATTCAGGTTTGAACCTCTCAAGTCATATGCGTGACCTTTTCCTCTCGATCTTCTTCTTCTATGAATCGACCGTTCTGCACCGTGATCTATTTGCTGGTGCATGTTATGGCGTGATGCACTGTTGTTCTTTGAGCCGAGCGCGATTTGTTTTGAAATCGTTGAGGATGATGCTGATGATGTACAAAGTTTTTTTTTCTAAATTCTCGTTGAAGTCTTTGAAGAAGATGATGAGAGTTCAGAAAAAAATTGAGAATGAATGATGGAGATGGAAGAAGTTGTTTTGAAGCTGATACAATGATGAAGTTTAGAAACTGGAAAAGAGAGAGTGACCTCGTCCTCTCAAAACTTGGAGGGGGTTTGGATTATATAGGTAGTTGAGGGAGGAAACAGTTATGTGGGAATCAATCTGAACCATTGATTTGGATAGATTCTGTTAGGGATTGAAGGGTGAGATTGAGAGTTGGTTACAAGGTGGTTATGCTAGTTGGGAATTCTGTTTGGAGGTAGTTAGAGAGTTATAAAGTTGTTAGGAGGAGATTGATGAGCTGTTAATTTGGACACAAACTGTCTAAGTGCATAATCAAGCATCCATATAATTGTTAACTATTATGTGATCAGTTACAAAGAACGTAGAAAGCTGAGAATTTAAAGTACAAAGCAAAATTACACAAATAATACAAGCTATAGAGGTTTTTTTTTAAAGTGCTAAGCATTATTATCTGCAACCAAATGTTAAAGATCTCAAACAATAGACCAACAGGTTGCAGTGCAGCAAGAACTTTGACAAGCTCCATCTTATTGTCACCATCTCGTCTGAACGCATATAGTAAAGTATTGTAGGTTTCTATTGAAGGTTGGATACCTTCTCTGATCATGTTTTCAAATGCAGCATAAGCTTTCTCATACCAGCCACTAACTGCATAAGCATGGATCACTGCTGTATAGGAATGCGAAGTGGGTTTTATATCGACTTTCTTCATCTTCAAGAATACATCGTAAGCCATGTGGCTCAGAAAATGGGTTGATAATGAACATTCAGTTTCTCAATAGACTTCTTTCCCATTTGATTAAGGAAGATATCTCAACATCTGGAGGGGACAAACAAGCTGACTCTAATTTCTTTCCACCAAGCCCATTTGCAACAACCACCAACAGAGTTTGGCAAGCAAGATATTCTGTCATGTTATCTGTACCAGTGCCGGTGAACTCCTTACGGGCAGCGATTGCCCTCAAAGCCGTTTGCAATGTAAGCACTGATGCATGGAGTTTACTGTAGGCTTTCCTTGATCCATGTCTGCGTGCGTGCTTCTGAATTTTAATAGCTGCATCCGTTGCATGATGTCCTTCCTGATAACACTCCCTGACCAATTCACTCTGTAATTTTGTCTAAAGACCTCAGAGGTATAGGTGCTGAGGTACCTGCCATGGATGGAGGTGCCAACAGGATTTGGTGGTATCACCATCCTTGAAATGCTAGGAAAAGGCTTTGGCGTTAATGCAGTAAACAAGTGCCTATCAGAGTCCTTCTTGAATGGCACAGAATTACTAGGAAGCTTGTGGATCTTGAAGCAATTGGTCAAAGTGAGGATCAGAAAGCAGTTCATGAATGATCTTGTCCCGATGCTCATCATCGAATACTTCAAGACATTTTTCAACCACATGACTATTGTACCTCTGCATTGACATATGCGCGTAACTACCTTCAAATTGTAGAGTCAAAGTTGTGGCCGCAGATGGAATTTGTAAGTCCAAGGTGCATTGAACAACATAGTTTCCGTATTTATCTTGAGCTAGCAAAAGAGCATTAGCAAATATTTCTGCAGCAAGCATTTATCTACGCTCCCCGCTTGAATAACGAATGCATTTTTGTAGAACACAACATCCGTGTTTGATGAGTTGCAATCTCCACGCAATACTTGACAGAAGCAACATAGATAAACTTGTTATCTTCATTGCTCAGGCATTCCAAACAATGTTGAACCACATGATTACCATGAAGGTCTTTTATGAGAGTCAAAGATCCCGGTTCAAGAGCCGACACAACTAATGAAATTTGCTGCCCGGTTTCGAGAGTCTCAATCAGCTTCTGAACAACACGGGTGCCGTGAGCATTTAGCGAGATTTCAACAAGCTGCCCCGGCTCCTGGATCACCAAGGTAAGTGTAAATAATGCTTCATCATTAGGTATATTTTCTATGAATTGAAAATCACTATGTAATAATTCATAAAAGGGAACCCGACATTTTCCCTCATCAACTAAAAGCCAGATCACATCCAAGCAACTATGTAGCCATGCAATTACAGTTTTATCAAGTCTCCATGACTTCAGAATAACAGCTTCATCAACTCCATGTGGTCTTTGGTCCCAATTCACCAGCCAATTGAGCATATGGTTGAAAATTCCGGCATATGTCACAGGTTTTAAACTGAACTCCAGATCAGTTAAAATGATTTTGCAACGTTGCTGGCGAAGGTTACTGTTAGTGATATCATTATTTTGAACAGACGGTCCGCCTCTTAGTTTAGATTGTAATTGACTAGAGGAAATATCAGATGATTTTACAGGAGATAGAACTGCACCAGATGAAGGCTCAATCGATGGCTGTGCAGGGGAGCCAATAGTATGGACAGAATTCAATGGAGATGCAGGATTTGAAGACTGAAAATTAGAAGAATTAGTAATTGTATTTGGAGGAGGAAGCATTCCTGACTGTGATAAGCTAGAAAAGGTAATTGTTGACACTGCTTGACTCATTTGGCCAACCGGTAATTCTGCCGAAGAAACTGAAGAAAGAAGGGACAGAAGAAAGGTGTCCCAGTCTTGTCAAAACAACATATATCAACCTTCCCAGCAAATGGTATCCGAAAAGGTTCTGTGCAAAAAATTCCTCGGCGTGCAAGTGCAATCAGAGAAGTATTAACAGCTATAGATAATTCCGTTGGTAACTCGGGAGGTATCACAGAAGTAACAATAAGAGAACAGTTTAGTATAAGTTTATAGTTGCTCCTTGACTTCTCAAACAAACCTCCTCTAACATATCAGCAGACAAGGTTATCTTTTCTTCATCACTAACACCGCCTTCACCGCTATCTCGAGGATCAGAAGGCTTATTCATGAGTTTCAATCTACAACCATCATGATCATCAGCCACTTCTTTCTTGGTAACAACAGAAGAATATTTCAAGGCATGATTAGTCAATTCTGTAGCAGTACCAACTATAGGAAAAGCAACTATTACTAGAGGAACAGGCTCAGGATTTGAGGAAACTTCCTCACGGGCTTTTTCAACATTTACTCCTTTTGCGCGGCTACAATTTTCCGGTTGACCCTGTCATGGAAGCAGAAGAACTTAATGATATTTGTGGCAACACTTTAATCAACTGACCTGTAGCAGTACTCTCGGCTGTTTTGGATCTTTCCTGACTACCCTCATGACTTGGTTCAGATTTAATGACTGTAGAATCAACCAATTTTGAATTGCTAACAGTTGAATTAGATTTCTTAATAGTTGAATGATGAATAAATTATTGTTTGACAGCAGCATTGTTTAATGAACCTACAGGACCGGCACTAGCTTCTTTCAAATTCTTTTTTTTTTAGTTATCATCGCATGGCTCTGATTTTACCAACCTAAAACTAGCAGTATTGGCATCACCAGCAGTACCTTCCAGACTTGGCAAACTAACAACGGGAGTAGCACTGCCTGCATTTAGTTCAGGCGATATTCTAGAGGGCTCCTCAACATACTTTTGAACATAAGATGAAAGACAGAGATCACGTGAATCGACGCATCTATAATGCTTAAATCCGAGTTTTTCAATGAAATCCGAGAAGACGGCAAATTCCTCGAGACTTGTGCAGCCAAAAACTTTAAACGTTTCCGGCCTTTAACACTCCCAAGCTTCGCACAACCGTCAAGTATCAGAATAGTAAGTGTTTTAGCCAAAAGAACGGATGAATGAAGATCCACCGGACTCACACAAATATAATGCTTTTGAGGAGATGGTAACGAAGATGGAAATATGGAAGAAGTATAACCAAGATATCCTTAAAACTACTAATCCACATTGACTTGTATTGTGAGCAAAAACTAACGATGATGAGAACAAAAATGGCCTTGATCAACATGAATCTATGGTACCATTCCTTATGCCATGACCTCATACTTTTCAATTCAACCCCACAAGTCCTTTGTTTTGTCAAAAAATGTCTTTGTGGGATCCTTGAAGAAGATAAAATTTGAAGCTTAGAAGGATATCCTCTAATCATTCCTCATTGATGAACATCAACAAACTCACACACAAAATGCAAAAACCTTAACCCGCTTGTATTAGGTGCACAGTGACGACTTGAGACATGGATAGAATAATATTCAAAATGTCTTCGAAATGAAACAAAGCATTATCTTCTAATAGACATAGGGAAATAAACCCAACTTTTCAGACTTAACAGATAAAACCTTACAACTTGATTTTTGAGATGAAGAGAATAACCTCGTAGCTTGATAAAGAAGAAATCCACAACAACTGTCAATCAAAAACCCTAAATTCACAATTCAAATCACCAGAAGAATCAATCTTGATTGATAAACACTCCGAACCAAAAGAAAACCCGAGCTTCGCAACCAATGATTCTCTGAACCATGATTCGATAAAACCCGAATTGGTTAATTGAAGAGTGGATGAATGCCATGTCAAAGTCATTAAGCATGTTGTTTATCAGAAAATAATAGCCTTGCTGCTTGAGGGAAAGGAAGTCCAAAAAAATGAGAATGAACCAAAACCCTAATTCCCCAACTTGCTGACACCGGGGGGACCCTGAATAATCAGGCTCATTTCACACATACACCTTAAATCAGTTGTAAACTTTAGCTCCCTAACTGCTGGTCTTTTGAGCCTCAGGCGATCTACTTTATGAAAAATGCGTGCTATGCAAATGACCCATTGGAATGATGTAGATGAATGCGAAAAGTCTAAGCCATAAAAATGCAATTTAGGAGGGCAAATTTTGGGGTACAACAATATGTTCTTGATATTTTCTGGTTAGAGTCCTTTCCTCCGGCCTATTTCCTATTATATGTCATTTCCTGCAGATATAAGTTCTTGATATCTTTTATTAATGCCCATTTCCCCGATCTCTTTCCTGTTATACATCCTTTCCTCCAGACATATAATCTTGATATCTTTGGTTAGATTCCTTTTCTCCAACCTCTTTCCTGTTATATGTCCTTTCCTCCAGACATATGTTCATGATATGTTTTGTTAGAGTCCTTTCCTCCAACCACTTTCTTGTTATATGTCCTTTCCTCCAGACATATATTCTGAATATCTTTGGTTAGAGTACTTTCCTCGGGCCTCTTTCCTGTTATATGTCTTGTCTTCCAAACATATGTTATTAATATCTTTGGTTAATGTACTTTCTTTTGGCCTCTTTCTTCTTGTATTTCCTTTTCTTCGCACATATATATTTTTGATATCTTTGGTTAGAGTCTTTTTTGAAGCCTATTTTCTGTTATAGATCCTTTCTTCCAAACATATATCCTCCGATCGCTTTCCTATTATATGTGCCTTCCTCAAGACATATGTTCTTGATATTTTTTCGTTTGAGTCCTTTCCTCCGGCCTATTTTTTGGTATGTGTCATTTCCTTTAGACATATATTCTTTATATCTTTCATTAGAGCCCTTTCCTCCAGTCTCTTTCCTATTAAATGTCCTTTACGCCCGACACATGTTTTTGATATCTTTGGTTAAATTCTTTTTTTCAGTCTCTTTCCGGTTATATATTCTTTCACCGCATATATATTCTTGATATCTTTTCTTAGAATCCTTTCCTCCGACTTTTTCATGTTATATGTCCTTTCCTCTAGACATATGTTCTTGATATCTCTGGTTAGAGTCCTTTCGTCAAGCCTCTTTCCTGTTATATGTCCTTCCTCAAGACATATATCTTGATATCTTTGGCTAGAGTCTTTTCCTCAAGTCTCTTTCCTATTATACATCTTGTCCTCTAGATATATATTCTTGATATCTTTATTTAGAGTCCTTTTCTCCGATGTCTTTCCTATTATATGTATTTTCCTCCGGACATATGTTCTTGATATCTTTGGTTAGAGTTCTTTCCGTCAGCCTCTTTCCTATTATATATCCTTTCCCTCAGACATATGTTCTTGATATCTTTGGTTAGAGTCATTTCCTCCGGTCTCTTTTCTGTTATATGTTATTTCCTCCAGATATAAATTCTTGATATCTTTGGTTAGAATCCTTTCCTCCGACCTGTTTCCTGTTAAATGTCATTTCCTCCAAATATATATTCTTGATATCTTTTGTTATAGTTCTTTCCTCCAACATCTTTCCTGTTATATGTCCTTCCTCAAGACATATATCTTTATATCTTTGGTTAGAATCCATTCCTTAAGCCTCTTTCCTGTTATACATTCTTTCCTCCAGACATATATTCTTGATATCTTTGGTTAGAGTCCTTTCCTCCGATCTCTTTCATGTAATATGTCCTTTCCTCCAAACATATGTTTTTGATATTTTTGGTTAGAATCCTTTCCTCTAGCCTCTTTCTTGTTATATATCCTTTCCTTCAGACATATATTC